AAGCAACAAAGATTATTTACAGATTATCGAATGCCAGAAATATGTTTTGCAAATTCTATATATGAACTGTGTAATTGGACCAATTTGTTTGTCCAGATCATCTGCTTGGTAGATAGCTATGTATCAAAGATATGTCACAACGTTTTAGTCTGACTTTAGAGCATATACTGTACCCATATAGTATGTATGTCGACATGTGCGTACACGTAATTCGCTTTGGCCGAACAGAGGCAGCAACAACTTGTGCCTGGCATAACATTTGCCTGCGCGTCTCCCCGATACCGCTTTCTTCTTCGCCCACCACTAGCCTGTTACATTTTTCCTGCAGTTACGTAAATTATTGTCTCGCTCCCTATCTCATTCCCACAGCTACGTCACTTTTCACTTCACTTCAGCTCGGTTCAGTTTGGTTCGTTCAGTATTATTATTTTTTTTTTTTTGGTACTTTGAAGCGTGCGCTCCTTTTTCAGTTCTACTTGCTGGTTACTGGTAGTCGGACTTGTTTTCACAGAGCCACAATGTGTGCGCTTTTGTATTTTATTGCATATTCCCCATTCGCGTGTAGATATTCTTGCTTCTGCCTTCTCCCGGCCCCTCCCTTGTGTGTGTGTGTGCGCACAAGTTTGTCTATGTTGATGCTTGCGTGCCAGCTCTTAAAGCGCCTTGATAGACGCTCCACTCGAAAAAGTTTTCTTTCTTTTATGCACACTTCGCATTAAAGTTGCCATTTTTGGCGTGTTTCTCTGCTGCTTTCGCCCAAGTTTGGTTGCTTGGTTGCTTGCTGTTTCTGTGGCTGTTTGTCGAGCGCTTTTCATGAAGAAAAATTTGATAGTGTTGCATACTTTTAGGCTATCATTTCTGGGGTGCGCCATAATAATGCTTTGGGTGAAGTAGCTCGACTCAACTTGGCATTATAAGTAAGATGAATTGTTTGGCTTCCAATGGGCTAAAGCATAGAACAAAACAGGCAGAGTGTGGAGCAGAAGGAACAATGCAAAGTTGACGGCATTAGAATGGAAATTATCTGAGTAATGCAAAAGAATTGTGTGTGGGACAAACACAATGATATATGTACACAGTCGCGTTGATGTTCAAATATGTACAAATGATGAGCAGATTTTCTAAAAAGAGTGCGGATGCAGAAGAGCTGAAAAAGTCAGTATAGGAATATTTAGATATAGATAAAATAACTGAAACACAAAGGCCTTCTCACACTTCCCGCAATTGCAAAACTTATAAACACAGGGATTAATTGGAACTACTTTACCAATATATATATATATATATATATATTTATATTTTTATCACTTCCAAGCTCACGATCAGCTTAAGTAGACATTTCACGTTTGTAATTAATATTTTACAAAAAATCTCAGGATAAATCAACTATAGTAATTTAAAATACAAGTAACTTATTAAAAATTATGCAGTTTTTTTTAATCGAGCATAAAAAAAACTTTGATTTATTTAAATACTTGAATATTAATTAATGAAAAAGATAACAATGTTAGCTGTGCCAAAACCACGTTCATATCCTGCAGGCAGTGAGGAAGTTTTGATTGCCATTTGTTTAGTCATGCAATTAAATGAAAACACTAAATTCTTGGCAGAAGAAATATATATTTTAATAATGTTATTAGAAGATTTCTACGAGTTGACTTCAGATTGAAGACGTGCAGACGTGAGATGCCTTTAGGTCCAGCTCAGAATGGCCATTCAATTAAATGAAAACACTAAATTCTTTGCAGAAGAAAGATATATTTTAATAATTTTATTAGAAGATTTCTACAAGTTGACTTCAGATTGAAAACGTGATGACGTGAGATCCCTTTAGCTCCAGCTTAGAATGGCATAAAGCAAATAGTCTTGCTAAAACTTCTACACTTTCGGTTTAACAATAGGCTTTACAGCTATAAAGTTGAACCTGCAGCATCATAAAAGGAACACCCAACCACAATCCATTACGTTCTTTTGAGCTTACGCTGCCGTTTCGCACACACTCACCCACACACACATACACATAAATGAAGTGCATTAGTTTACCTAGGCCAGATATTATGTGGCCATAACCAAAAAGTTTTCACGCTACACAGACACAAAATGCCACAACGTTAAGCCTGAAATATTTATGTGGCCACAGTCGAAATGGCAAAAATAATAGCAAGGAAAGCAGGCACAAGGACAGTGCCAACTAACGACTGCAGGCGACAACTCTGGGAAGGTGGCTCGAGCAGCCGTGGAATTAATTCATTTAAAACTCGTTACCAGGACTTTGCTGGTGCGACTGGTGCTGTTGCAGCCATCAACGAGCGCAATAGACGATGGCGGCAAAGGCGACGATGAAAAAAGAAACATTTTCAAAACGGAAGCCAAAGCCTGAGAGGACCGACAGCGACTGTGAATCCTTTTTTGCACTTAAGTGATAAACAAATACACTCACATAAACAAATACAAATGCATAAGCAAGGGTGCCCACATATATATACTATATATTAAGAAGAGACGGACATACAGACTGTCAACTATGCAGATCGAGTGTGAAAAGTGGCAAGGCAGGCGACTGAAAATGAAACCCAGACTGAGGCTCCCATCTGCATCGCATCATCAGCATAATCAACGCGCCATTGCCATTCACTTTTGCGAGTCGTAAATTGCTGAGTGCTGCTGTTCTAGTAGCAGCGATTGTTGGCTGATCATAGGGGGTATTTGTCTTGGGCGCCACTTTGAAGGGGCGCTAAAGTCGATAAGTCAGCTTAAAGAGTTACTTATCTCTAACAAGCTGGATGGGCTAATCATATTAATTGTTGATTGGCCCACCAACATACCTTACGGCATATCAAAATTGTAGGGGTGAAAATTGTAGGGGTCTGGGCTCTGGGATCTTTATCATTTTCGTGCCTTGTTTCTCAGGCTAAAGGAAATTACCTTGAAAGTTTCGAGTATTTGTAGGTAATGATGGCTGTTTAGTGTTACAAAATAGATTTGGACAGACAACTGAACCAATTTGAAATAATAAACTATGCACAAAAAACTCAAAAGTTCTGGATTTCTGAAAGAGATCCTTAATATATCAAATTCCTTACCATTATATAAAATAAATAAAAAACTGTTTCGATCTAGGGAGGGAAATCAGAGGCACTATCCCCTTTAAGCATTTACAGAGTTACTCTCTAGAAAATCTTTGAGGTAAATACTAGGCTTAATGCATTTAATAAATTTATTTTATGAATTTATTTATATATTAAACGAATCAATAGAATCTTCGAAAATGCACTATGGATCATACTGGTATATCTTTAATTAAAGCAAAATACATTTTACTTTTTGTTCATTTCAGTTCGATATAGTATTTCTGCAATATTGATATTAAAAAGTAACTTTTTGTTTCAACGTATTGCGAATGACATAAAAACCAACCAATCTCTAGATTAGATTATTTTGCTGGCACAATCTAGAATTATATAAATGGGGCGCAAAATTCAAACTTGCCCCTGGTCGAGCTTATGTTATGAGCCGTCTTTGTCTTCTACACACACTCACACATACCCTCGACACAGAAGTCGCTGTCGACCTCATCAGGCATCAGGCATCTGACTTTTGCTGCGCTGCATGCCAACTTCCGTTTGTCTTTATTTGTCTGTTTTCATCCGCTGCTGACTGCCTGTGTGTCTGTCTGTCTATCTTGTCCCAGCCGTCCGCCCATCCGTTTCGTCTTTATGTTTGTTTACCTTACGTTAATGAAGTTGTTCGCCGCCGCCGACATTGCCACCGCCAAGTAAAATTCCTGGCAAAATATTTTTTCAACAGGCGCTCCAGAAGAAAAAAAGCAATTAGTTTGTTCATCACTCAACAGATGGCGTGGCAAAATGAAAAGCATATCCCTTGCTCCACTTTATCCACCCTTTGCCTGCCCCTTCTCTCACTCATTCTCGCTCTCCGCGCTCACATTATGAATGAAAGCGCAAGGTAAAATAATAATTATGCATGCAGAAAAAAAATATCACTCCAACTGAAATAATGTAAATACTGCACTGCAATGCCGCAGGCTCATTTTCGCGTTGAGCGATGCACCGTGGTTCGAGATTGAAGTGCATCGAAACAAAGTATCTTTCCAATTAGCCGCTAGTCATCATTTTAAGCATTATCTACTCGGACATATATTGCATGGAAAATATATACAATCTGTTACGATGCTAATCCTGTTCCATAAATGCATAAATATTTTGAATATTCTCGCTTCAGAGTGAAAAGTTCATCAATTGTTCCAAAATATATCAAAATGTTTTCACATCGATAACAGGTTGATAAAAATAAATGAACACCATTTCAGTAATGACTTTAGGTCTCACTTTTCCAGGAAACACTTCTAAACTTTAAAATTATGTAAAAAAAATAAATGTAAAAGCAATTAAAAGGGTTTTTTTAATTTCATCAATTTCTTTAATAAATGAGAAAATCTTACAATCCGCATGGATTTATTTCCAACCTAATTTGTTTCGACGAATGAGGCTAATTAATTTGCCTCTGGAAATGGGAAATGCGATCAGATATACTTGTATATTCGAACATAGATAGGAACTCAAATATGTTATTACTTTAACTTAAAATCTACAAAGTGCCACAAAATTTTGATCCATGTTAAAATCTGCTACATACAATTTCGTTGCACTATTTAAGAAGATATAGCTTGAAGTATGTGTTTTAATAATGTGCTAAACTTTTTGGAATTATTAAGAATCCACTTCTTTGAAATATCTTGATAGTCTATTAAATTATTTCATATTTTATTTATTTATAAAACATATATTTTCAATGAATATAATTCCCGACTTTCGCAATCATTTAAATTTATTCTCTTTAGACTCCAACGATTATTAAATCTCAGAACAAGAAATTCTTGACACGGAAACACAATCAGTTCGACTTGTTTTTATGGAAAATGAACTCGAACCACTAACCGGTGTCTATGATACCCACACTGCTACAGCATTCTTACTTACCTTGAGAAAAAATAATCCACCCGCCGGTAAGGTTATCCTATGAGATCCCGGCAGTATCTTCAACGGCACCCCATCCTTATACCATTGAATTGTTGGCGTCGGGGAGCCCTCCGCCTTGCAATTAAGCGTTGCTGGCTCGTGTCGCGGCACCGTCGTATCTATGGGATGCTCCACTATTCGTGGCGGATGTGAACCTGAAAGTAGAAATGGATGAGCAAGAAAAACGATTTTAACAAAAATTACACAGAGTGCTGCTTGAGGTCGGCGGAGGGGTAGGCGGTGCATTGCCTTTTCCGCTGCGTCATCAGCGGTTTGTAAAATGCAGAAAAGAAAGCGGGGGATAAAAAAGAAGAAATGAAGAGTGAGCTCACTGGCAAATGAAAACAATGTTAATGCGCATTGCAGTTGACGTTGCAAATGAAGTTGCAGTTGCATTGCAATGAAATGTTGTTGCTACCGTTTCTGTTGACTGCTTGGCTGCTTGACAGTGTTTAGTGCTCAAAGGTTTAGTTTAGAATTAATTTGTTTAGATTTGCATGGACTGTCAGGGCAAAAAAGTAGTTTTTTTCCCTTCAGTTTTGTTTGCATAATGCCAGCTGGCGGAATTAATTCGCTTTGCCAGGGGTTGTGCACCTTAAATAATGGCGGTTATATATCTGGCAAGCCAGATAAGGCAACGGTTGACTAATTTTTAAATAGGAGTCATGCACGCCCACCAAAGTAGAGAACTGTTTTGCAAAAGTGTCTTGTGAAGTCTCCTCTTTAAATTGGTTCTAAAGCTATTTAATTAATTGAAGAATGTGAAAATGATTTGACAACAAAAGCAAGCATTCAACATTCTCTATATTTGTATATTAAACAGCTAATACATCAAAACTTTATATATGACCCAGGGATCATCATATGGCAATTCATCAACTCTAAATTAATCATGAGACTGACTTTAGCAGCACAATTTTGTAAAAATTCGACACTTATAAGACCTTGCTTTATTGCTATAATCATTTTCTTACGTAGGCTCTAAGATGAATTAGAATTAGTGTATCAACTCTTAAACAAAACTTGCTTGGGTGCGATGATGCAACGGGACAGCATTCTTAAATATCGCATCAGCACTTGAAGGCTCCAAAGAGGATTTAATATTCCGAACGGCTGAACCAATCTCTAAAGATTCGCTGAAGCTTTAATGTAATACTTAGTTGCAATTGACCGATAAACTAACATCTAAAATATAAAATATTCTTCTGAAACCAACTGCTAAAAAAGTGCGAACAGTCCTTGCAGCATTTTAGTATGTAAGAATCGAGGTTATAAACCTCCTTATATAACTAATGTCATTATTGTAAAGAAACCAACCAATGTTAAAAAGGTAAGCTAAAGTTTAGTCACATCGTAAACTATATCATAATTCACGAATAAAATAATCGATCTCTAGTGCTGCTCAAGTATTTCCCCACAAACTGCAGTAAAAGCAAACACTATGTTTCTTTCTCTCTTCTCATTTTCAGAGAATAAATATTTTAATTAAATTGTGCAACACAAAAAGTACTTTCAAAATATCTGAGCTATGCGGAAAGTGCATGAAATTGATCCCTTAATTTGCGCATACGAACCAAAACTACACAAAACTATGAAAAGTATTTTCCTTCACTTTTTCAGCCACTTTATCCACTGACATACATAGTCTTGTTTACTTCCTAACGTACTATATATACGAGAATACAAGTATGTATAAGTGTGTGTATTTTTAAGCTTGTTGGGGCTAACAACAAACTTTACATCGCTATGTCCGGTTAAATTTAATTATCGCCCAAGTCCATGCTGAAGTTGAAGTTACTTACCAGCCTAACATAGTTTCGCATAAATTTTGGCACAGTATCGCACAGCACAGCACATGAAAATTGCCTTAAAGTATGCTACTAAAACAATTAAGACCCGAAAAAGCTATAATTAAAACAATAACAACAACAACAAGAACAGCAAACACAACAACTAGTACTAGTGTAGAAGCTGCAATTTCTGAACGTACGGCCTTTGATTGATGATGCAAAAGTGAAATGGGGGAGAAGGCGATGCAATGCCGCAGGCGACGCCGCACTGCCACTTCTATGGCGCCTTAAAGTATGCAACGTAAGCAAGTGGCGCGTCTTAAAAGCGTTAAAAGTGCCAGCCAAACAACCCAGGATGGCTGGCAGGAAGCAGGCAGGCAGGCACTGAGCTAGTCAGCCAATGCATTGTTTTTATGTGTGTCCGCATGTGTGTGTATGTGTGTTTGTGTGTTTGTATGCTTGTGTGTGAGATGTTATGTGTTTTTTTGGCCGCTGGCAAAAGGCAACAAACTATGCAAGTACGTTGCCAACAACAGCAACAATGCAAATGTGTGTTATTACACACACACATATATACAGACACACACGCACACCACATGCTACCATGTAATTCTTGGCTGGCTAACAAAAAGAAAATGTTTAAGGAAATTGCTGCAAATATTTTGCTTGTTAAGTGAAACCCAGTTCTCCTTTTCTACTACTTGCTCATGCAATTTCTTCAGGCATTTTCTATGACCCACACTACACTCCCTCATCACTTCCTCCTCTTATTCTTCTTCTTCTTCGTTTCCAGCTATATAAGGCAGCCTTTTCGCTGGCACACAAACATAGTTGTTCACATCAAATATCTGAGAGGGGGGCCAGAGATGGTTTTGCATTTTGCATAAGCGTGGAAATGCCTTTGCCGTTTTAGCAATTCATGCAAATTTCGTACATTTTGCCATGTCGTTACAATATTTTTTATTGTCCTTGTTGCTGTTAACGTTCCCTATATGCCAACTTTTACTTTATAATATATGCTAGCTGGCATGCAATTAAAAGTAAATTAGTAGGCCTCTAGGCCTTATGGACGCTCGTTAAAGATGCATGCAATTTGAGTTGCTAATTGAATTATTTACTAAATATTCAAAACTCTGCACACTCAGCAAAATGACCGAAGAGAGTCGCCTTATGAAAATTAAAACAAATGAATAAACTTATTTCTATTGGCTGATCGTCGATGAAAGGAGTTTTTATGGTTATGACCACAAAGGTCATTTGAAGATGGCTTACAAATGCATTAGCACCTAAATAAGAAATGCTTTCAAAGGCTATCCATTAGACACAATATATGAATAATTTATAAGAAAGATAATTCATGTATTTTACCAACTCTTAAGCCAAAAACAATAAGAATTGTGAAGCAAAGGGGGCACTTTCTTAAAACCCACTAATACCATAACTGAAGGTCGATTAAAGGGAAAATTTTGGTTACGAAACAAAGTAAAATACTAGGCATTAGGAATCTTATGCGACTTGGGATATGTTTGCTACTGAGGATACAATTAGCTTATTCTTTAGAGACCGTTATAGGGGACAAGAACTATCTATAAGAGTTTATGTCAAAACTATTGCTAACAATCGACAATTAAATAATGTTTTGAATGAAGAAATTCATCAAAAGTTTTGAGTAATGCCCATAAGTTGTATGTTATTCTTTGTAAATCTATAATATTTATTTAAGATCTGATAATTTATACACTTATTACATTTCCTCATAACCTTGAAATTATTGCAACTACGCTGCTGTCATAATAGGTCCTTAGCGGCACCTTTTTAAAAGAAAAGGCAAAATGTCTTATCGAGAATACATCAGGCATAAAAAATCAAGAGAAAATTTATTATCTTAAATCTACAAGTATTTTAGTACTACAAAGAAGACAACTTTTGTATAAATTAAAAACTCTTTTCGAAGTTACAATCTGGCAAACCAAATACCTAATAGTAGAAGACAAATTATATTTTTAGAAGTGTACAAATTACTCTCTTATGTATGCTTCAATTGCTTTAATTTCGCAATGTTTTACAAACAAAAGTTTTGCTGTACAAACTGCGAAATCAAGCGTTAGACAAACAAAAACAAAAGCCCGTCTACACATGCCTGCCGCCCTCACTCTGTTATTCATATTTAGCTGGACCCCTGTTCTTTGGGTGAACCATTTATAAAAACAACCTTTTTTAGGTGTTGAACATCACCGCAGGGCACAACCCATGGCCGCTTTAGCCCCTGTGCCTGTCGTCTGGTCAGCAAAGACACATACTCGTATAAATAAAAAGAGACCAAAGCCGTGCAACAACAACTTTTAAATACAACCTCCCCGAAAAAGTCAAACAGGAACAGCAAGGCGAAAAAGGAACCACCCACAGGCGACATTTAACCCTCCAAATTGAACATTTTTGGTCGATTTTCGTACGAAATTTGGTTTTTTCTTTTCTCCCCTTGTTACTCGCTTGAAAATTTATTTATTCTTTTGCTTGCGTGTTGATTTTTGGTGCCCATAACTTGCACACATCCTTGTATATGGGTATATATGTATATTAAATGTATTTTCTGTATTTTCATTGTTGAAATAACATTGACAAGCGTCTTGTTTGCCATTTGTGCCGCACCAGCAAAACATGCAACATGTCTGACTGCAACTGCTCCTCGACCTCAAAACAATTCTCTTCCAGTCAAGTCCTTAACAACGCAACTTTTGCCCCTCAACTCAAACTTCGCTCCCCTGTCGGCGAATGTGCAACGTCTGTTGCATGACATGCAACTTTTGCCTCGAGCTGTGTTATTGTTGTTGCTGCTTTTGTTATTGCTGTGCGCAATGCAATCAACAATAACAAAAACAAGAACAAGAACAGCAACAACAACAACAACTATAGCAACGATAACAACTTTTTGCCGCCTGCATTGCATTTGAAATGTTCCTCGGATTTTATTCAATAATGTTTCAATATTCCAACATATCCTGACATATCAATTTTCACGCAACGCATTTCTATGAGGGTGTCTACGCCTGCCTGTGTGTGTGTGTGAATGGATATATATAGTATAGTATATATGTGTGTGTATAGGGTGCAAATGGTGAAAACTCGCGCTTAAGCACACACATAGTGATATGTCGATAAACATATGCACATACATAAGCTTGTAACGATATGAATAAAGTTTTGCTTTCGCCGCATATGTTGCTGTAAATTGTTCAGTTATAGCATGAAAATTGAAATTTATGTCTTGTCGCTGACAGATTGCTGCTGGCGAGAGCACCAACTTTATATCTCAAGCATACACTGATGTATATGGATGGAGGAAATGTTTAAAGATTCATAAATAA